TTGTGTCTCACACACCTGGTCATCTTCTCCCCCACACAGGTCCTCATGTGCATGAGAACACRCAGAGGGGCTGCTTCGCGTGTCAAAATGCTGAGGGCAGTGCTGAAGCCACAGAAGCAGGGCCTGTCCATAGGCAGGGTGTGCACCCACAGTGCCCTGGCTATCCATGGAGATGGAAACCCTGTGCTTCCTGGAGGAGCTYCAAGTGCATCCGTGCCTGGGGTGACTCTGCAGCTCCCACTGTGCTCCCAGAAAGTCAGGAATGRCCAGGGGAAACAGTGGAAACAGGGCTCCTTGCCACCAACAAGCAAAAAGATGTACTGGGCTGGATGTTTTCACAAAGCAAAAGTGTCTTCAATGCACTTTTAGCAGTTGCTTATTCCCTAAAAACATTAACTGCAGATCAAGGAACYTGTGAGGTTTTGTCACACTTCCTTATGCCAAGGAATCTAGGGGGATTACCATAATGGTACCTCTGTGCACCTAACTTTAGTCACTAACCTTGCTGCTTTACCTCCACGGTGTCTCAAATGGAGGGTGAAGCAATCATTTTACAGGTGCAAACTCTCGTGCTTCCAATACTGTGAACGTTAAATGCACAATGTGCCCAGCAACCAACTCCACCTGCTCACAGTATTGGAAAATGATCCAGATTTCCATCACCTGCCTGAAATGGCTGTCAGTGAAAGTGATATTAAGAGGCAGGGGTGTGGTATTTTATCATGCCATTGCTAACCTGTGCTCCAGACTTAAGCAYGAGTCAAGGAATTAAGAGTGCATTGCCTGCTCTTCCTGTTTAATTTGGCACTCGACATATTTTTAAGCTGTATTTTCAGGGGGTATGCAAGGCAGTCATGACAGCACTTCGACCTACTTGTGTATTATGAAGCTAGACCACCGCTTAATGCAATATTTATATTAAAAGGGGGGGAAAAAAATAAAGATGCTTGGGAAGTAACTTCAGCAACATACTACCTCTGACATACAGACCACTGAAAAGAAACACACTCGGCTCATTCCAATCCCCTGCCCATTGCCCCCACTGCCCCTCACAGCTGCACTGCCTCACTCTCTGTACGCAAGCACTGTCTCCCTGACCCTGCTGAACTTGCCAGCAAGCCAAAAAGCCACCTTTCATTGCCATCAGCTCTGGAAATCTGGGGACATGTGAGGCCCCATTGTAATGACACTGTACAAACACCTGCTGCTCCAAAGGGCTTAACRTCTAAATACATCATGCACACAACAAGGACATATATTTTTAATGAACTTCCACCCATTGTGAGTTTGTTAGCTTATCGCCTATCTTCTGTTTCCTTTAGAAATAACAAAGAAATACCTTTGCTCAAATAATAAAGCCCTGTCTGTGATAACCCTGGTCCAGCTCCAGCAGGGTGATTTGACAATATGTGTAAAGAACACAGCTGTGCTGAAAATAAGAAATGACCAAGATTTTCAGCACTGGTATTTTTAGCATACTACAACCCAACATGTCAGTGTAATTAATAAAGCAGCTTTTAGCTATACTGGGTTAGCCATAATCACACAAGTGTATTTAAAGGATCCTAAGGTCTCATTTAATGGGAMATAACCTGAAACTTACTCAGTAAAAAAAACAGAATTTCAGACACTGCAGCTGACTACAGTCTGACAACTTTTGAGGGGATAAACTTGCATTTTCCTATAGCTTTTTTTTCTCACAGTACAGGGAGATGGATAACTGCCCCTTGTACCAAGATTTCCTTGGTCTAACAGTCCCACAAGACTGGTGTTCACAATTTCCCCAAAATGTGTGACAGAGAAGGCAAAGGGCCCAATCTCAGGCTGTTTCTTGGGAAAATGGTAGGACTGTTCCTGGCATTATGATCAACACAAGGGCCACTCATCCTGCTGTGTGCCAGGCAGGACAGAGGGATCATGGGCAATGTGAAAGAGCAAGGACCCCACCCCTTCCCTGCCCTGGTGAGTGGCAAAGCCCAAGGTAAGGACTTCACTGCTGTGTCCCTATTCCTGCCTTTTCTCTCCTCCTGTCAAAACTCAGGAAAACAGCGAAGACAATATAAACACTTTCCTTTTCTGTGCAAGCATGTCCTGTTTATGGCTTGCAGGTGCCAGAGGAGCAACTGGAGCTCTTACTGCCATGTTTCTGCTGCCAGTGGCTGTGGAGCTGGYTTGTTCCCACCCCATCATCCTCGACGTGCCACCCCTCGCACAGTGGCCAGAACTAGGGCATGTTGCACCCAGCTATTTCTAGTACACGTAGGAGTCCTCCTAGGAAAAAACCCTCAAGTCTCTCCTTCAGAACAAGCTTTTCCAGTGCAGAGTCGCAGAACTGAGGAGCTACATTTCGTTTTTAACCTTAGCCACAAAGTGTAAAATATCTCCCRTAGTCTTTAATTATATGTTCACACCCTATTTCTCAAAAGATATCACAACTCTGCTGCARCTACATACACAGGCATCAGCTTCTGCCACTGTTTTTTTTTTTCACTGTGTCTGACAGAGAAACATAAAATGCTAAACTACTTTACATGGAAAACACACTGTGAACCTCTCCTGTTTAATCTACAAATGAAGTAATAAGCTGTGATGGAAGACAGAGGTTATCTAAGTCTGCATCGCTGCTAATTGCTCCATCACTTGCATGCTGAAAAAGGAGGAGCTGTGCTGGGGAAGGAACTCTTACTACAGAGTCTGCACTCCCTCACAACTCATAAATAGGTCCAGCCACCTTCATGTTCACTACTCTTTGAAGAGTTACATCTCAAATGCACATATATATGACTTGTCGTRTTTGCTCTGGTACTATTATACATCACAGCGACAGGATATAATGCCATGACACTTTCACCACAGTATATATCTAAAAAAAACCCTAAAAAACAAGATTGTATAGCGACTGTGCAATGTCCCATGTAAAAAGGTCTGCAGGTCAAGCATGGGAAAGCATTTCCTCATGCTGTGTATGGATAAGATCCACAGGGGTGGATACAGATATGCCAGAAAACATACCTTCTGCTGCTGCAGTAAGAGATCTAGTAAGAAGACTATTTCCAGCATAAGCAGAATGGCCTGGCACTTGGAGTRTCTAGTAATTCACAGAAGATTTAATAGCAGAAAAGGGCATTTTTTGGAGATGATCACAGATAAAAGTACCCTCTCCATTGCCTTCTTGCTTGGTACCTGTTTGAAGTAGCAGAAAGCTGGCTACCCTTTAGACTAAAATCACTCAAACTGTGCCAGTGATAGTTAGCAGACCTCACTGAAACTAACAGTGAACCTAAATTTCTGCAAACTACTCTCTAAATTCGCTCCTCAAAATTTTCCAGCTCTTTAGAGGTAACATTTCCAGCTCCTAAATGTCAAGACTTTCTTTCCTAACAGGGCATGGCTCTTTTAGACCTTTACCTTCCGGACCTCTGAGTGATCACAGTGGTCATTAACCCCTTGTGCAACACAGAACATCCTGAAATTCAGATAGGGTTGCTCATAAGGGTGATACAGTTTTGCAGTGTCATCCAGGGGAATGACAACCAACAGAGATGTTACTGCCAATGGTTTCAGCTTCTCACCAGCTACCAGTGCAGATAAACCAATTTGGGAGTTCCTGAGATCTGGAAAGGCATCTGTGATCAGTTGTCTCAAGACTTAAAAAAGTMAAATTGAAAGTCTTTGAAATTAAAGTGGAAATTCCATCTTTGTGAACTCTATTCTGACATCCTGATTACTGCTTTACTTGATACAGTTCATGGAATTGGCCAAATTACAGGGAATCAAGAATTCTAGGAATTACAAGAACACTGTTTGGCTTGAGATTCTCTGATTTTAAGCTACAGTTCAGAAAGCTTCTTTACAGTCTCTGAGTTAAATTCATTTTCCAGTTCCAGATTTATTACACAATGATGAATACGGAAAATTTACCATTCTGCATGAATTCAGTGTACATGAACTCTTGTTCAACTAAAGACCTGTCACAGTGGATCAGCTGGAAAACATGACTTTGCATCTACCTCTGACATGTTTCTTTTTCAKAAGTTTTGAAATCATTACTCCAAAACACAGCGTGCTCTATAACCCCTAATATATTTTAAGGAGATGTTAAGAATATATTTTATCTCTACACTGCAAGGCACGTACCCCTCCAAAAATTAACTCATACATAGCAAACATTCTGGTCTGCTCAGCCTTCCATTTTGAAAGCAATGTAGTAATAGGAGTTTCTTGTAAACAAGATTTRTCGCAGAGGATTTTAGACATGAATGCCTCAGCCAGTCACCCATTTTACATCTTCCTAGGCTACCACAAGCAACTTACTTTAGCATGAGACAGATTATCAACCCATGATGCTTTTTCCCCCTCTACCAAATGAAAGAGTCYGTGGTGAACCATTTGCACCAAGGTATTTAACTTTTGGACACCTGTGTCAGGACAGATGAATCCTTCCACAGTGACATTTTCTGTTTTCATGCTTTTCACACAAGTAGCAGACTGGTCAGATATATCTGGGGTATACATTAAAAATGACAGATATTTTCAGACAGCTGGCTCAT